AAGGGTGAGATTTCCAGAACATTTAAACGACTATTGCACGTAAGGCACTTCTCGACATTTTATATTATTTTTTTTTAAAAAAAAAAACAATTTTAATATGCTTATATATTTTTATTTCTATTTAAAAAAAAACAAAAAAACAATTTTTTTAACGCTATTACGTGTTCATGAGTTTTTTTTCCATTTTTTTCCGCCGACATTGTGCTTTTACGCACATACGAGTGTATTTTCGACATGCACTTACATTTTCTTTTTTCTTTTCCAGGACGGCTGGAAAAGAACGATGACGTTTATGAGGATCCGAAATTTTCATTGTACATTTTCTTTTTTTGATATGTTGTACCTCGGTCCCATATAATAAGGAAAGACGACCAGACGCTGCTACACTTAGTAAGCTGTCAGAAGAGTGTTTACCAACGACAAACTCGTTGGGTTTAAACTTCTGGCTGGCCACGTCTTAGGGTCGTCACTGCCCCACTAGGGGGGGAGTGATCTGTAGCGGTAAATAAATCCCCAAAATAAATAGCTCTGTAAGTTTTCGACATTGGATGCTGACCATATGTTTTAGTGGACTCATCTAGCTGAAGGCGCTCGGTCAGGCATCCGCACCAGATCACGTGTGGTAACGCCGTGCTCAACATCAACCGCAATCACTAGCCAGATTAGATCAGAGAATTCCGATATATTGGTCATCGCCAAATATACTCTTCCGATCTCCTCGACTCTGTCTTTTGATTTCTCTGGGCGGGAACGAAATATATTAGGTGTTACTGGTAGAAGCGTTGTCAAACACTGAATACCTGTGACATCATCACTCTGTTTGGGTGATAGTGGTAATACAACCGTGAACTTGTATTGGACAGACGGAATTTATCTCAGATGGACGCCAAAATTACAAACAGGAAAGCGAAGTGAAGAAAGTGAACGTGCTGATCCGCCTATGATACTCAACGCAAGAGTTAAGATAGTTCAGAAACAGATAATACGTAGTATGAAAAAATGACGGGGGTCAGATAAAACAGTGAGTGACAGATTAACACAAAAAGGTCGTATATGTGTGAAAATACAAGAATATGAATATAAGACGTGTGTTGAAGGTCATAGTAGTTCAGCGTTGTCTGTATTATCAACTTTAGTTCAAAAGATAAGGTGATTCATATAAAGCCACAGCAGTATTAGATATTATAGTTTCTTTGAGGATTGTGTCAGATTGAGAGACGAATGTATCTTATTGTTTCATTGATTGAATAATGCAGTTAAAGTAGATTTAGAATTACAAAAAGATAAAATCTGAGTAATCGCGATAAAATGTGAGTAAGAAGCATACAAATTATAAAAATTCATGGTAAATGATCGAATTTTACACTAGTGAGCAGAAGTTACATTCAAAAAATAACTCGGCAAAAATGACCGGGAACATCAAATTCATCATTTCACTCATAACTCATCAGATAAATGAAATGGACACAGATCACGCCATCAGTGCGAGACCTAGATTGATAGGGAGTATATTTCCAGGTGGAACACCAAACCAGAACACCCGGTATCATCATGATCAGTGAAAGCACTCGTGGAGGAAACGGATCATTACAAAAAAGTACAACTTCATACTATATAGACCTACCAACTTTCTATACGACTACAAAATGGCATTGAGACTTGAAACTGAAATTTGTCAGAGTTTTGTTCCCTGAGATAAGTTATCTGGTCTTAGAGTTTTCACTGTTTTTTTAACAACACCATTAGCTCAAACTTTAAATAGAAGTGAAGTGTTCGAATTTATCTACATATGACTCACAGCGCTATGAAGAGCGACTTCAAGCCTTATGAAGAGCGTCTCCACCCACTAAACCTTTATTCATTAGAGTACAGGCATCTTAGAGGTGATCTTCTAATGGCTTGTAGCATCCTTAACACTTCTGGACATCCCCTCAAACACTTACTTAAATTTAGCCTCAACACAAACCTAAGGGGTAACACTCAGAAACTGGAGACACAGCACAACCGAACGAACTGTAGACACAACTTGCACTCCTTAAGAGAGGTCAAATGCTAAAATTCGCTGCCGGCTGAGTTAGTCCAAGCGACTTCCCAGGAGTCCTTCAAGAGGGAACTTGACATATTCTTAAGGACTAATGGTGGTATCTTACTATGATTTACCAATTTCTTTTTCCTCTATTATCGTCAGTATGCCTAGGTTCCAGCCTAGAGGAATTGGTGATCCACTGCTACTAGACACGGAAGCCCGTTAAGCGAAAGCTTCTTCTATTCCGTTCACAACCATTTGAACCATTTGAGCTGTGACTTGACCTAGACGGCGAATTTCATTCTTAAGGTCGTTAGACATGCACAAGGTGGCATCTGAATTTGCAGTCTCAAATGGTATACTTACGTAAATAGCTTGACGGTCTATAGGAATTCTTAAGGTGGTCGACGGAAACCCATCTCTTTTATCATGTACACTTTTACCATCTCCCGTACCAAAAGTATTACTATGTCGTGCTCAATCAATCCAATGTGATTTTAACTTGTTATATCACAGGGTTGCAATGAATCATGAATTTCTGTATGATGTGTTGAAGCCGTGAGTCTCTTTCATCAAATTTCCGAATTTTCAGCGTTCTTGCTGTTGACCCTTATCTTCGCTCATTATGGGGTATATATTCACGAATTCGAACTAACAAAATTACTCAGGTAAAGAAATTTTGTTTGAAATCGATTACACAGATTTCATGTATCCCGAAAGTCTGCCGATCCCTACTTAAAGTTTTATAACTGTTTAGACTTTTTCTGAAATATTACTCGGTAGACTTCTCAGGTAGCGTGCACTGCGCGATATATGCTTAAACGATAAAAAATCTTAGTATTATTTACCCGTTTTCGCTTTAACATTTACCCAAGACGTTCGGCACTCCGAACACCAAATATGGGGGAATAAAGAGGAACCTTAGAGAAATTCTGTGGAAAATGCTCAAATCGGTATGAATGTAGCCGACAATCCATCAAATCTTCGCCTCTTCCTTAGCCCAAGGTAAAATTGCTGCTGTTCTTCATTTAAGTGAAGTGTCTTGGAACAAGACCTTTCTAATTGCTTGATTTGATTTGTAACTTGTGCCTGTTAGACCTCATGGAACATAGGCTACCTACCATTATTCTCCAACCAACCTTGTCCTTTCTATTCCTTTTCGGTCACGAACTGCTATTATTTCTTTTGACTTATTCCTTCTGTTTCCAACTCATTTTTGGTCCATCTCTTGTCCGATGAACAAGGAGGATCGAATGAACACGTAAAGCCGAGGATTGGCAAATAAAGGGCCGCATCCCTACAATTGAATAACACATGGAATTCAGAACAACTGTCAACCAATATCAAAGTGAGAATCTTCGGCACAAACGTCACGACAGTTCTACTGCACGGAACTGAAGCTTGGAGAACTACAAAAATCATCGAAAAGGTACAAATATTTATGTTCAGTTGACTACATAATATACTGAATGTCCGTTGGTCCGATACCATCAGCAACATCCTACCATGAGAGAGAGAGAGGACAAACCAGCTTCCATCTGAGGAGTAAATTAGAAAAAGACACTGGAAGTTGATGGGACACATTGAAGAAATCATCAAACAGCAACATGAGGCAAACGCTAACTTGGAATCCTGTAGGGAAAGGGATAAGAGGAAGACCTAAGAACACACCGTCAGTAGTTTGAAACAGACATAAATAGGATGAATAGCAACTGGAAAGGATTGCACAGGACAGAACTGGATATAGAGTGCTTGTGGGTTCCTACGCTCCTCCATGGGGGGTAACAGGTGTAAGTAAGTTTTGTCCATTTAGTTTGAGGTTTCCAAGTAAGGGCTTGCCTTGTAATGCAGCTTGACAGTTTCCGCTATGTGTGCTCTATCCACATACAGCATTTTTTCCTGACTTGTTCTGCAACTGGAAGCTGTTTTGTTCCCCACCACAGTAAATCATTTCTGGTGGTGTCCGGACAATAGATCTGAAGTATCTTGAGTAGACAAGTTTTTATAAATACATGTGCTTTTCTGATGTTGGTCGTAACTGTTCTTCAAGTTTCAGCACCATACAGTAGAACTGTTTTGATATTCGTATTGAGAATTCTGATTTTGATGTTGGATGACATTTGTTTTGAATTCCAGATTTTCTTCAATTGTATAGGCAATCTTTTTACTTTGTCAATCTTTGTCTTTATATCCACATCAGATCTCCCTTGTCTATCAGTCGCACTGTCTAGGCACGTAAAAGCTACCATTTCTTCCAGAGTTGCGCTAACAAGTGTGATTTGTTGATGTTCGTTGTGTTTAATTTTAGGATACTGGACTTTGCTTCATGTATGTTGAGGTATTCTGCTGCAGAGGCTGCTGTTGTACTGTATATTTTCATCTGAATTTGTTGCTGTGTATGAGAAAGAAGAGTCAAGATATGTACGAATTCTAAATCGTCCAGTTTACTGTATACCATGCTTCCTGTAAGATGTGGAGGTCTTCATAAGCCAACCAAGCATCAGAAAGAAGAGAAAAGGGGAGTGTAAGCAGCCTTGTCTGACACCGGTCTTCACTTGGAATGCACCTGCAAGCTGTCCTCTATACACCACTTTTCAGTGTAGTCCGTCGTAAGAATTCCGTATGACGGTGACAATCTCAGGTACTTTATAGTGTCGTTGAAGATTCCACAAGGTCCTCCTGTCCATACTGTCAAATGCTTTCTCATAGTTGAGGAAGTTAACGTGTATCGATGAGTCCCATTCAGTCGATTACTCGACAGTGATCCGTGCTTGATACCGACAATATCCTTGGAATTTACCCCATCACGTACATCCTACATAAACAACACCACGTTCCTCAAGACAACCATCGAAAGATTGCAGATCAAAGAACGAAAACCCAGGTACGCTCTTTCTTTTTTCATTAAGAGTTGCCCCTATTGGTAGTGTTCTCCCAACCGAAGTGACCACAGCCCCCTCAGTGAATGGCTTCAAGAGAAGACTTGGCAAACACGTACTCATCCATGGATTACCATCCCCTCTTGAAACATTTGTGTCGAATGCGTGTCTCGTAACTTGCATACTGTTGTCATTATCTCATCATTAACTTGTTTCTATTTCGCTTATTATCATCTCCACTTCCTCTATTATTCCTACACTTCTGTATTCTCATAATATGTGCACTGTCAATCAATTTTTCTTCTGACCCTAATGTTTCTGATTACTGCTTATACTCTTACTACCTCTACCACTACGGAATTTGAATCGACAACTAAATCTCTGTGCTAATGTGGTATGGCAACTCGAGCTGATGTACATACGTACGAAGTTCTACGTTGTTACTGACTGACTGAGTATCCGAATTATCACTTATTTTTCACATTGCAACCAACGAGCATCCTGTATGTTAATGTGAATAGTCCTGGTATCCATAATCCCTACTATCCTGAGATAAATACACTGATAATTATAAGTAGTCAAAATGATTCGCTAAGCAGGAACTGTCAGAATAGTGCCATTTAAGACAGATGGAACTCGATGAGTATAAATGAACGCATTCTGTTTGGACTTCGAATTGGCAGCGGAATAAACTATAAAGGAGTCATCAATTAGTACAAATACCGTATTTCTCCACTCAATAAGTTCATTTTAGTTTACTATCATTACCTTATCTAATATTTTTTTCATTCAGCTTGCCTATCAGTTTTGATGATATTTCACACGATCTCATAGTTGCATGCTTATCAAACTGATCTCAGTTTACAATTTTGATATCGATCACTTCTCTCTATAGCCCTATTAAGAGTGTATTGAATTAAATGTCTATCGTTTCTACCTTATTCAGCATACTTTAGTAGCATTAGCCCCGAATCTAAAAAGCGTTTTTTTGTTTGCAGAATGATTATTGGTTAACTTATAAAGCACTATCTCGGTAAATATGTAATAATTAGTCAGATTTAAATGGTTTTCAACTTTCATTTGCAAGTCTGATAAAAATATTGTCTAAATTGAGTTTACTCAAATTCTGTTTTCTACTAATCAAAATAATCATTTATTTGTTGATTAAGGCTTTATGTAATTGACAAGGCATCAGTGCAACAATTTCCTCTTAAGCTGAAAGTTGGTTTGATCTATTATATTCGACTATCTCTGTCTCTGGCCAGTAAATCTTGGTTAGATATCTCTATAAATACCTTTACCTTTTCGATGATAGTTGTATACATTTTCCAAGTTGCAACTCCACAACACAAAACACCCTTACCTTTTACAAATTGTTTGCTTTTCCCTAAAATTAACAGCGAATTGTCTACTTCCCTCCAATATTAACATGTCAAATAGTCAACTTTTTGCAAAACCTAACGGACTAGTTTACTACCGCTTGTGCACTTATAAAGTTCGTCTTTAATTGTTATAATCTCTGGTTTTTCTTCTTACGGTTAATGACCCAGCTATTCCTATTGCTTAGTATTCTCGGACACCGATTCACTCGACAAGTCTCCAAATCAGAACACGGTTGAACAGGAAAAAGATTATATTCCAAATAGCAAGTCAGAAGCCAGTAGGAAGCACAATAGGGGAAAACGTCGGTATATTTATAGTTTTTACATAAGAAGAATCCAGAATATTCTCCAACTATCGACTAGCGCTGATTGGATAAGAATTAGCCAATCAGCGTGCACCAAAGCAATCATGCATTGAGCATGCTTTAGTCTAGTCTATGCCCCGCTAACATTAATATCTTAAAACAATCAAGTTATCTTCTCACTCAAACAGTGGTTTATGTGAAAACAATTTCTAAACATGTTTTACATAAAGTTGTCAATGTTTACATGGGGGTGACGGTTAAACGTCAACACTTTAACTTGGAGAAAAAAGTTATCTCCATTCCATGATCTAAAAAAAGCAGTTAATGCATAGTTTACGCATGTTTATTCAGAAAGCTTTTTAGTTTAGACGAAATAAAAATGCATACCAACGTTTACCTGCCACATTTGGTTCGTTCCAACTCATTCGACGCACGTGAGAATGTTAATGATTTCTTAAAAATGATTAATTTGTCAAAAAAGGATAGCATTGTAGAAAATGGACGAAATAATAGCGCTATCAGTGATAAGCAGCGTTTTCGTCACTTCGATTCTGAAGTGTCACAGCTGTAGACAGTTCAGATGTGGTTTTGTAAAATGCTTATTACAAATTCGTTATAGAATAAGGTAAGACTTATTATGATATTTCAAAGAGCGGATTCCGGGTTTAAAGTTGAATGGAAGTTGCGATCACAGCGTGAGAACTTAGTAAATTTATAATTTATACACAAGATTATTCTTGAGTTTTTATTCATCTTTTAGCCCCAATCGGCTAAAAATGAATAAATCAGTATGCTTCAACATTATCCTGCATGGAACATATATTAATACAATATGTGTCCTGTTGAAACCTCTCTTTTGAGCAGATTAGTGGGACATAGCGTTGTGGTCCGCTCGCATCCGCGTTCCTTGCTCTTGAGCTGTCTACCTTCTAGGCAGTCAAAAAATAGTATCACTCTTCGTTCGCGCAGAGACTGGGTTGGCCGTTTCCGGGGGCTTGATTTCAAAAGTGTCTAAGAGAATAATATGAGGTATTTCACATCGGTTCTCGAAGTTGCTTTCAGGTGGTCATCATGGTGTAACCAAACTTCTGAGCCGACTACTGCCTCATTAACGAGATTTCCTTTCCTTTGCATGATTCGATCGACTATCCCTGTAGGATGTTCATAGCCAGTACTTTTTGACCCATAGTGAACAATCGACATTATGGGGCAAAAAGACTCACACGAGTTGAAAGCTGACTTTTCTCCATATCTATTCATTAGCTTTATTATTACTGCCAAATGTGTGTTTTATGGCAGTAAAACTTCGATTTAAACATGACTTACTAGGTCTGAAAATTAAATTCCAAATTTTGTCAACAGAGACGTTTGTACCTAGTCTTTACCTCGTTTGTAAACCCAAAGAACTTACCCTCGAACTTTGTTTTTTATCCCTTTTCTCAGGATATAGTGTTAGGATTGAACCGATCCGATTATATGCTTCATGTACAAGGAGATTTATGCGATACTAAACGGACTTCTCTTGCGAACCGGTTACAAAGTACAGTAGTAGCCGCTCAATCTGATATTGAGACTCAAGATGAAGCTTGGGATGGTTTGTTGATTCGACAAGTTGAATTCAATATGATTGCATGTAGCTTTTGTGGTCTTGCTCAGCGTATTGTTCCACAACATCGTATTTCCTTATCCTTGCATGGAATTTCAAGCGATTTAAATAATCGTGTAAGTTGAGAATAATTTTATTCACCTCATTGTTATTACATATAATCTCAGTCATTTTTGAGAGTATAATTCCTTGCATAATAAAATGGATGTTTATTTTAGATTTTTTCGTGAATCATATACTTTTTCCAAAAGCTGTTCATGTTTTTGCAATACTACTGCCTTTTGACGGACTGGTCTGTGTCTTTATGTTGGGGGTGCTTTCAAAAGTCAGACTTGTTCAATAATCTCTTGAGTTCATCCGGTATCACTTTATTTTTTACGGTTAGATTTTCGTCTAGTTCAGCAAATCCTAACATTTGTTTCATATGCAAAAAAATCATTCTATGTAATGATTGATCTTATTGACTTATTTGGGCAATTTAAAAATTAGGATTGTAGTTTATTTCCAGGAGACTACATTACGTAATAGCAACAAGTGGTATCCAAAGTTAAAATTATATGAAACCCGAAATCATTGTTTACATGTATATTATCTGACGGATATCATTTACCTGAGATTATAGTTTTTTAATGGCTTATAATACTGAACAATAATTTTATTGAACTGATCTATACATTGACTTAAACAATCCGGAATATACACTTTATCAAATGGTTATTTCTTTTTGTATATATTTAAGCGCCTTAGGACTTAGAATGTATTTATATGGTTTCGGACTATGGCGCTATCATACAAATGATATGAATTTAATGTATTGAAAATTTCATTCATGTCATCAATCTTACATTTAGGTACCTGATTGCTTTTCTGCTGATAGATTTAGCGAAGCTTTATTATCTGCTTGTCGTATGTATGTCGAAGATTGCTCTAGAAGAAATTTAATCACGTCAAACATATCTATTCTTGTAGTTGTTGGTAAGAATGAAAAAAATATTTATGATCAACGAGCATTGATTGGTTGTCTTCTACTGAAAAATCCTAAAGTGAATGTGTTATATCATTCATTTGATTATCTAAAAACTGGTCTAAAATTGGATGTGAATTCCCGTTTATTTGTGTAAGTTGTTGTAAAATTATTACCTACCTGCCTAACTCATTTAATCTTTTGGGCTATCTTTTTTTATTAAGTCAATTAGTTATCAATAACGAGTGTACAGTTTCAGTAATTATTGAGGTTAAATAAGATCTAACAACACTGTAGTAAGTATATTATTTTAAATCGCTAAAATTAAAGAGTTAAATGACTAAGCGATTAGCATTTCGGTGCTTTGATGCATTAAATTTTCCTATCACTTACTATAAACAACGTATGTTTTAGTTCACTTGGGTGTTGGTTGTTTGAATTTGCTGATGTTTAGGACTGCAACTGATCAGTCTCTAATTGTCATATTTGCATCCTGATCAGTTTTCATCGATATCGCTTTAAGTCACGAGTATTATAAGCAGAGGTAAATGGTGGCTAGCAGTAAAATCTAGGGCTCCCAAATGCCCTGGTATGGCCGAGGATGGGGTGGACCCTCCCTCCCTCTCGAAATGCTCTCACATGGCCACGCGTATACAGCCTCTGCCAAGGAAGTCCTACTCACTGCCTTCTCTTACCAGGGGTGTTGTTTACGAAAATGAGCGGACAAAAAGCGAATGCCCGCCGCTTTAACCGGATTTGAAACCAATGGCGCACATAGGCTCCAGTATCCTGAGGGAACAAATGGCGTATGAACCAATCGTTGGTCACCGGCTACCATGGAACTGCATCACCTCACGATGCTTCACTGCCTTATGGGTCAGACCTTTAGGTCAAAGGCTCGGGGTGTGGCTCCCTAAGAAAATAACCTGCTTCGGTCTGGGCATCCGGGCAGTATCACAGCCCACACACAAACAGAATGAAGTGACGATACTTAAGGAAAATACTATACTTGCTTCGATTAACAGTCAAACGATTCACATTATTATTATTATTATTATTATTATTATTATTATTATTATTATTATTATTATTATTATTATTATTATTATTATTATTATTATTATTATTATTATTATTATTATTTACTACGTCATTTATTCACTCTATTTATTCTCACTTTATGCATCCTCATTTTTCGACTTATACAGCAGCTCGCCTATGGTGGAATCTCACTTCTATCTAAACGTTCTCGAGTCACTGACTTGTTGAAAATTGAATGCACCACCAAATACGAATACTGAAACAGTTTTTCTGAAACCGCGTGCACCATCCAAACTGGCTGCCTTCAACTTCCGCACACTTATGCAGATCAAACAACAGATAGGGCTTGCTATGTCTTTGGAAAGTCTTAACATTGACGTTTGTTGTCTATCCGAGACCCGTATTGAAGACTCTGGTGAAGTACTACAAATTCGCTCTCCATCTGTCGCTTCAAAAAGCTTGTTTTACGTGCGTTTATCCGGGGACCCTGTGGCATCTTCGTCTGGTCTTGCTGGCGTTGGTGTCGCACTAAGCGCTAGAGCTGAGGCAGCACTAATCGATTGGATTCTATTAACAGTCGGTTATGTGCTGTTAGATTAGAAAGTTTCATCAAAGTGAGAAGAAATCGGCGTGAGAAACGATGTCTTTTCATCATCTTTGCCTATGCCCCGACAGATTGCAGCCCGGATGCAATCAAGGATGAGTTTTACCACCAGTTAACTGTTCTTCTCCAGAAAGTGCGTTCGACAGATATTGTAGTACTAGCCAGAGACTTGAATGCTCAGGTCGGGCGTCTAGGCACAGAAGAGAGTCGTTTAGGTGGCCGATGGGGACTTGTTGGTCGCAGGACAGATAACGGGGACCGTCTATTGCAACTGTGCGCAGACCACAACATATTTCTGACTAGCACTAACTACTGGTACAGTCATCGTCGATGTGCCACCTGGCGTCCTCCCTCTGCATCTCAAGCCTTGACTCAGATTGATCACATCATGATCAGCTACCACTGGCGTGGTTGTGTACAAGACTTCCGCTCTTTTTGGAGTACCGATCTAGACTCTGATCATGCCCTGGTCTGCGCCAATCTTACCTTACTTTTCAGTGGCCAACGAAGTGACCGTCACCAAGGGATTGATGTCAGCAAGTTGGTTGCAACTTCTGTTGCTAGTAAGTATCGAACAGAGCTAGTTTCTAGGCTAGCTACCATTCTGCCGAAAAGTATAGATGAGCATTGGTTGCAGCTTCATGACGCCACAAAAATGGCGAGTAAAGCCGCTTGCGGATTCGCGAAACGTCTCGCTTATAGTCAGTCAGTCAGTTACAACGTAGGACCAGGCATATATATGCATCGGTTCAAGTTTACATACCGCACTAGCACGACAAGATGAACACCGGATTTATTGAAGTGGTTAAGTCAATCGTGGTAATATATAAAAAAAAGATTGCATATAAGGATATAGTGCAGGAAGAAAGAATTAGTTAGTAGAAAGAAAAATATGAAATAATTGTTATCTCATAGTTTAAGGGAAGACAGAGTGTATACACGTACGCCATTTTGATCGATTCTGAGCCATGTCACCAAGTCTCTAACCATTGGTTACGATTGTCACGCGGACCCCAACCAAGTAGTCTGCATCTATCAACATGGCTCAGACCAGAAGTTAGTGACTTCAATCACTGATGCCACGTTTTGGTTTGGCCGCCCCTAACTTTCTTCCAGCCATCCCCCACACCGGTTAGCATTGCACTTCGTGGTAATCGGTGTTCAGGCATACGCAACACGTGGCCCAACCATCTCAGTCGATGAAGATTCATAACCTTATCAACTGATTTACCATCATTCCCTAATACCCTGCGTCTAACCTCACTATTACTTACTCGGTGATCCCAGAAGATGTGAGCAATATTTCTAAGGCATGTGTGGTCGAATATTGGTCGAGTATCTTCTGCTCTTAATGGCCATGTTTCGCTGCCGTAAATTAAAACAGAACGAACTTCCGTGCAGTATACTCGTCCTTTTATTGATAGACGGATATCTCGCCTTCGCCATAGGTGACATAAGTTGGCAAAAACCAAACTAGCTTTTCGAATCCGTGCTGAGATTTCATCAGGCATCAACCCATTAGTGCTGACCAGACTTTCAAGATAAGTGAAGTTGTCGACGCGTTCGACTACTTCACTCCCTATCCTTAGTTCAAGTGTTGACGCAGTTCAGTCCTGAAGCAACAACTTGCATTTAGAGGGAGAGAAGCGCATTGCAAACATTCTGGCATTGTTGCTTAGTGCTACCAGAATGCATTTTATCAGCGTCTTCACCAAACAGGACTATGTCATCTGCGTACTCTAAGTCGATAAGTGGACCTCCTGGTAGGAGATCAATACCCGATAATTTAGTCGACGAGAATGTAAGCAATGCAAGCAATTTAAACCTATTAAGTAATTATGATTTTTTAAATATCACAAGTTGTAAGCAGCTGACGAGAACCTACGAAATAAAATGAATTCATTCTATTCTGCTAGAATATTTGTTCTTGCTCTTTTCAAAATGGTAAAGGGAACTATGTGTATGAAATGTTATTCCCATCAGTAGGTCTATGATGAAGTTAAACAAAAATGAAGAAAGTGGACATCCTTGACAGACACCACTTGAGGTTGCAAAAGCAGATGACAGTTCGCCATAAGCTCTGACGCGACTAGTAGTGTTCGAGTAGAGAGCCTTTACAAGGTTTATGTACTTCTGAGGTACGCCTTTCAATGACACACTGCCACAGAACCTCTCGGTCTACAGAGTCAAATGCTGCTTTTAAGTCAAGAAAGACCACCATTGTCGGACGCCAATAAGTATGCTTGTGTCCTAGAACCTGACGAATGGTGAATATGTGGTCGATGCAGCCACGACATGGTCAAAAGCCAGCTTGATGCTCTCGTGTTTGCAGTTCACAAGTCTTAGTTAAGCGTCGGATAATCATCGAAGATAATATTTTAGATGCTATATTAGTTAAACTAATCTCTCTATGGTTGTCACAGGATGATTTCGACCCTCACTTATATTTTGGGACGATGAGTGATTGTGACCAGTCAGATGGAATAACGTCCAACTCCCAGATTTTAGCTAAAATATTAGTCAACCTAATCGCTAAAATTGGACCACTATCCTTAAAGACTTCTGGAGCCAGTCTATCTGGACCAGCTGCCGTTCCTCGTTTCAGATTAACTATAGCCTTTTAGACTTCAGCTAGAGTTGGGGGACCTATATCGATGTCCCATTCACACTGTCTGGGAATGGAGTGTAGTTGTAGAGTAACTGAAGGCCAGCTGAACTGTTCCCTAAAATGTTCCGCCCATCGTTCTAAACGTGTGGACTGGGAGCAGATGAGAGTGTCGTCTTTTTCCGAAATAGTCTGAGTTACACTTGACTTATTAATTCCAGTTTCTTTTATTAGTCGGTAGAGCTGTCTTGTGTTCCCTACAGCCGCCGCCTTTTCCATCTCTTTTGCTTTCATTGCCCACCACTGCTCACGGTCGTTTCTTAGACTTTTTCTTAACCTAGATCTGATTTGTTGTCGCTCTTCATCATGTTCGGAACCTGATGGGACGAGTTTGCGAGAATCCATCAGTGCAATAGACCTTGAGGAAATCCATTGGTTCTTTGTAACCCTGTGGTTTAAATCACTGATAGATGTCACTGCTGTTTCCACAGCTGCTTGTATATCTTTCCAAGCAACATCTGGGTCAGCCTCGTTTTTAGAACTACCTAAGTGTGACCTCAGTTGTTGGTGGGACCTACTTTTAGTTTTCTCGCTACTCAATTCAAAACCTGGGAGCAGTGGACGGCCATTTCATTCGCGCGCGAGACCGAAGGTCGTGGTTTCGTATCCCTCCTGAGGGATGGTAGGTTCACAATGCTGAGGAGTCTCATAACTGGAAGAAACGGTCGTCCAGTGTTTCCAGGTTTTCAGTGACGGTCTAGCTTAAAATGACTTGTGATTTCAACAGTGAAAATACTTCATTCTGCACATATCCCCATACTGTTAAGAGAACTTAAAGAATTTCTAACATAATTGGTGTAAAACATGTTTAAAGGGCGTATTTAAGGTATTCATTTGAATATATGTTCTTAAGTGTCTAAGTTTCCTTCACTATACTTTCTGGTAGTACGATCTCTGATGTTAGACATCTAAGTGATCATAGCAGCCCATGAGAAATATAAGGCACGTTTTTCTACCCTATGTAAATTCACCAATACGGTTGGTTTATGTGAACATAATTATATCGTGTCTGACATTTAGTTGGAAAATCCTATAATCTACGGTCCTGCTACCTTTTCTTTATAATTCTTACTGTGTTTCTTGTTTATATGTGCTGCTAAGTGGGGGTAAATGTGTAGACAATCACGATATTATGTTAATAACATCAAGGGTTGATTTTCGTCAGTGAACCATTCAAAACTAGGGACTACTTGATAGTTGCGTTAGGAAGCTATACCCATGAATATTGTCAAATATATACTACTGGGTCTCGACTCAGTGGTCTAAGGGTTAAGCACTCGCTTCGAGATCTGAAGTACTCGGGTTCAATTTCCAGTGGAGTCGTAGGTATGTACTGCTGACGAGTCACATGCTAGGATGAAATAGCTGTCTAGTGCTTCCTATTTTTCATTGGCTGTCTAACTAAGGTCAGTCCGTGATGTAAATTCGGAATGTGGCGTTGCCTATCTCAATATATCAATAATTGGGTCTCATAAGCTGCTGCTTATTATAATAATATATTTTTTGCCGCTAAACAAAGTCTGTTGTATTTTTAGAGACAATCAAGAGGTAGCTGTTGTATATTTTAGAACTGGCTATACTCCAGATGCTTTCCCTGATGACGAAGTGAGTGATGTTTATCCTTCTGATAATGTTTGTGTTAAGTTATGTGATATTTTCCAATCAATTATTCTTCACTTTTGATCTTATCTCCTTTTAACCACTTGTTTATCACATACAAATTCTTTATTAATCTTTCAATACTGATTTAAAGTTGTTATTCCGTAAAATTCTTCGCGGTGATATAATGAGCAGAAATTAGACATGATGGTCAGGTTTCAAGTGTATTAGTTTCTGATTGACGTTTATGTTTCATGTTCTATGGTCGCTTACGCTTTAAATAACTTAACCATCTTTATTTTGTCAAATATTTTCGCATATAGTTGCAAATCAGTTCTATTGAATTTCACTATATGTTCATTTGAAATTATTATTAGGTTTAATAGTTATTGACAACTGAATTCCATGTAAACTATTTACCAAATCAACTGAACCTGTTATATAGACTACAGATGTGACTCGTTCAGTAAAAAACCTATGTAAGTAACAATTTAGCATGAAGCGCAGAACATTTGTCTGCAGTGATGTTATGTTTATGTAACAAAAACATAAACTGTAGACTAATAAATCATCTTGTCGAAGGGCCCCTGAAGAGGGCCGAATCATCTTCACTTTGAAAGCTCATCGATGTCTGCTATGTAGAAAAACAAGGTATTATTAAATGTGGCACCCAAAAAAGTTCTTATAATACTGGTTTTGAATATAGAACGACTAATAATACGGATGGAATGTTTTTCCAGTTACCACTACCTCTACATCATACAATCGTTTTCTCCAAGCTAATATTATTTTTATTATTTAAAACTGTCGGCTGATACAAATTTTTTTAAAATAGTGTTCATTAAGGTCGAATTGTTCAATAACGCTTCCGTCTAATAATAATAATGACAATAATAGTTTATTCTCGAATAATAATAAGTTACACGAGTCATGCCAATTTTAAGGATAAGATCAAATTGATAAAAATGGTATGATATTCACTACATTAGACTAGATAACCCAGTTTAGTTGACACGTTATAACGAAACATTTGTTACTAAAATAAGACAACAAATGTTGGTATATAAAAACATGATTAATGGGATTAAACCTGAAATATGCAACATAAAAATTTTACCCATCATGTTGATGCTGCGTTATAGAAATGAACTGTTGGTTGCAAATAATGCAAATGTTATGCAGTCATCTTGCAGTTAAAAAAGCCAATTTTTTGCATATATTTTGTTGTTTTTTGTTACTGTTTGTCAGGTAACTGATATTATAGCATTATTGTAGAAAGAATTCCTACCACAGTATCAAGTAAGACGTACATTAAAGTCTTAAGTTCTGGATACGTATTTTGTGTGTTGCATCACGATAGCACATTCAACGATGACAGATGGGGCAGTGTGAGTATTATATACTTCAGTTTGCTCAATTGCATCTATTTTACAATACCTTTGCTCCCATGTGCTTCACAGTTGTGTTAAGTATATTTAATACTGATGTATGTGCAGTTTATCAGGGGAAAACAACTACAACAACTCAGGAATAGTATTGTTGATGGCGTCCAATCATAGTAATGTCTAACATTTAAATAATTAAAGGCTTCCTAGACTTCAGCTAGACTCGAGAGACCAGGATCAATAAGTATAACATCCAACCTTTAGTCTGCCAAAATTTCATGGTTGTGGGACACCGAGGTATCAAAATCACCGAGTGGTCAGGAAAATAGTGTATTGTAATCTGATTTTTTTTTCTTGTTATGACATGTATTTGTCTATAATACAAAATGTCCTAACTACTTGTTTGATTGGTTTCCAGAAAAAATTGTTTTTGCTTAAGTTTACGTGTTTTACAAATAATCTGGATTAAATAAGTAATGTTTACCATAAAAAAATCAATAGTTTCTGAGAAGAATACAAACATTTAAATACCAATATCACTGATACTTTTAAGCACAGGGAACTGTAAGACTAAGTTACTAAGTTGTTGGACAGTATTCGTAATAATCTAAATATTTTCAACTTTATCCAAAAGTAACAGGAAGCAGTTGAAATTTGTTTATCAGTAGATATGAATTATTTGATAATACAGTTTTCTCTAATTCCATCAATTATCTGTTTTCATTTATGGTCAAGAAAGCTATTAAACGTTTATATCAGTATTTTACTGAGTTTAACAATTGTTTCTGATCGTTTTGCGTAGCGTCGTAATATATTTGATAAATATTTTTTTAACACTTGATAAATAAATAAATGTGATGATGAAAAATCAGAATGATCAAAAATCCTACAATTAGTATTTGTCCTTATAAGTTTGAAACATGCACATTGGGGAAGCATTCATGTCACATATTTTTGTATCTACATGTGGCTGTACGTTTAGTATTAAAAATATAATTTGCGATATGGATAAATCATTTAATTTATCGTCAAGGCTAGGGGCGGCCAGATCAAAACATGGCACAAGTCCATGAAGTCACTGACAAGTGGACTGAGTCATATTGGTAGATGTAGACTACCTGGTTGGGGACCGCGAGATGATAGCAACCGATGGTTAGAGACCCTGAATGACATGGCTCAAAATCGTTTGCAATGGTGCAGGTGCATCCATTCTTTGTGTTCTCCCAAATTCTAATCTTCTGAATTCTTCATATCCCTTTCTTTTTTCTCTTTTCAAATTCATTTCACTGGATTATACTTCAAATCCTAATTTTTCTGATCACAGCTTATAATTTTACTACATCTAGCACTACGGGATTTGAATCGACCACTGCATCTCTGTGCTGATGTGGTGTGGCAACTCGAACTGATGTACGTACGTACGAAGTTCTACGTTGTTACTGACTGACTATCGTCAAGGCATCGAATTCAACTAAGAAAGTTACGTAACAAATAATTACTTCGCATAAAGTGGGTTTATTAAACATCCATTCAAAGGGGATTAGCTAAGTATGCTATTTTGGTGCTAACTAAGGGCCAGCATTTCACTGAGCTTTCCTAATATCAAGTTGATTATAACATGAAAAATAATGCTACTTAGAGGGCAAACCTCTTTTGGTCAACGAGTTGTATTTCACCACATCCACACTTTTAAAAAGAATAGATAGCGTATTATCTAAAAAATCTCATACTGCAGACCGAATAATTTGATAATAAATGGTTACATATTACCCAAAAGTATCCAAATTCAGTCCGTTATAAAAATCCTTGATTAATATTTAATGGATTGCATGTTGACATTCTTTGTCACGTGTATTCCCTGGAATATTTTTTGTGTTTCTTATAACTTGTGACCGCCGATTAGAGAGCAGTGACTTATCGATCGGATCAATAGCGCGTAAACCCGTGTGAGCAGTCTGGAGTCCTTATTGGTCCCGCTTACTGTCTAGCACAGCCACTAAGTCCAGAACACCAATCCGAGCCTCTGCGATATGAATCATTTATTTCAGATATACGGAGTTTATATACCAATCAAACAGACCACAACGTACCATAAAATAGGAAATGACATTTGTACAAGATTTGGCCAAAAGTGGCTGTGAATGAGGGAGGTAGTGATTAATAGATAGGGCATAATTCAAGAATGGTAAAACGTATAATAATAGTTTATGGGTCAAAATAAAGCTTATAATAATAAGAATATGAATATGCATAGTTTAGTTATTTAACAATTATACGATAAAAATATACGTTTATTATTGGTCCATAAATGGATCCCAAAAGTTACCATTCATTATGCTTATCGGGATCTAACAGTGTTCAATCGCAAAACTAAACTAAATTCTTTCGTCAATTACTGACGTGCACAGTAATAAGAATTACCTTGCAGATAATGATTGAGATCATGAAAATAAATTTTTCATGGTGTTTTGTTTAACAATTAAACAGAAGACTGCAACATTCGTCGTCTATTTCTATATTGAAATAAATTGTAATCGTACTAACAGTTCACTGGCAACCTTTATATATGAATTATTAAAATGGATCTGTTTTATACTTCATAATAATGTATAGTTCATATTCTCATCAAAATCCATTCATACATTTCGTTGATATTAATTAAAAGGTGCTTAACTTCTTTTAACATATTATCAAATGTTTTAAAAAAAATTTAATTAATCCCTGATGTACTTAACTCATCTCGTTAACATTTAGTGACTTCAAACAATATTTTTTTACTTTCAACATGCCAACATGCGGTTCCACATATTGTTTATTCCCATCTAATCTTTCCAGCGTGTTCAGATCTCTTTTTCATTAAACTGTAGATTTACATCCGTATCTTAGATTCCAGTGAATACATAATATGTAAGTACTAAATCTGCCATGATTACATTTACAGATAAGAAATTATGTCGTAATATAATAATTCACAATGCTGAATTTGTTATATCTACATTATTACAGAGCTGTAATTTTGTGCTTATCAAGTTTTCTCAGATTTTACTCTCCATAATGAACAGCCTTATCAATGACTCGATTAATACAACGGTCGGCGTTAGAAATTTAAACATCTAACTAATCAAATAAACATAATTTATATAAGGAGAAGAAACTTGCGATGGTGGGTTATTTTATTAGTTTCATTCTCTGACCTGGACGGTTTAATCGTGTTTAATCCTGTCAAAATAAATATGCAGATAATGACAGAATAAAGGTCAACAATAATTAATAAATCAAGTTCGACCAAACATGCTATCAGTAGGTTATGTGGGGAGAAGTTCGAATAGTTCAGTCCTACCTGAAGTCTGTACTAATTATGTTGTTCTGTAGATCCATGAAAATTTCACAATTAAACTAGTCAAGTCAAAGAATGTAGCAAGACATAAAACTCAGATTCCCATCACGCTACTGTTGACAGGTTTCCAGTGTGCATTATAGATGTGTTTCTCTCATAGGTTTGTCGAGATTTTAGCATGGTATTTTATATCCCTACTTACTGCAACATACAACTTGATCTGCACATCTATTCCCCTTGTGGTTTATTTTCTGCACTGATTCGTATAAGTCTTCTAGGCAATATATAACACTTCTTTCCAGATTAGCTGCCCAATAATCCAATAAAATATCTATGTTAATTTTTCTCATAAATCTAGTTAATGATACTTTCAGCTATTTGGTCTTTATATATTTCCGTTTTGTGTGTGTTTTATTCACTTCGTGCGTAGACATGGGATGTGAAATATCAACTTGAACGGTCGTTAGCTATCAAATGCCCATGTATACAATATATGCTTGCAAATACAAAAATAATACAGGCCGCCCTGTCAAAACCGAAATATTTATCTAGATTTTTTAATCCGGATAGTTCAAGTTATTTAAATATTTTATCTACATTCGCCCATCAATATACATTAGATGAAGAAATGGGAATATCGGATTCCCCTGAGATTCAATATGTAATTAACGATTGTCTATTAAGACCAGATAATTATGTTTTGAAACCACAGAGAGAAGGTGGAGGGAATAATTATTTTGGAGGTATTGGTTTTCTTGTTAAATCTTTCTCGATAACTATAATTTTAATTTTATTCAATCCGATTAGATTTGTTAGTCGATCTTTTAAGGTGAATAATCACTTTTCACGTTATTAACCTTTATGCAATAAGTATGTCGTTTACGGGCTCGGTCTATAAAATGTTGTGTTGAGTTATGCTGGGTTTTTCGGTTATTACTATTATCACTTCAAAAGTGCTTACTGTGAGTGGGTTTTCCTAGAGAGCATCCATGTCCAGATACGATGTTTCGAATATAATTGTTTTGGAGCGAATATGTTATGGGTTGTCCGATAAATATAAGGACTGAGATACTTAGATTTTTGATGAAGCTTTGTGAAAACACTGAAGGAAACGACTCATTTAGATTGGATAAAGCATTTTAGTAGATTGTAGTGACGCAAGGTCAATGATAACCGTCAACATTTACTTTTATTCCAGATGTTCTAAGTGTAAGGCATCTTGAACTTTTTGACGACTGACTCTTTGTCCGAATAGCTAGTGATGAAGTGAATCAGGAAACATCATCCATACACACGATCCTAGCATAAAAATAATGAAAGGATGAGGTTGTTGAAAATCTTGACCTTTTAGGACCGTCAAGGATGTTATAAATGATGAACGTGTAGATAGAACGGCTATTTCGTAATAAATTGGAAGTGTTTTGAAGTGGATATATCCAAAAGTTTCTACACCAAAATCTGCACCTTCCTAACCAGTGGTTAACGACTTCATGAACCACTAGCGCGTTCCGATATACTCACTCTTGGCTTTTTTCCAAACTGCACGTATTTCATTTAACAGTCCATGACAGGACATAGAACAACACTTGTCCCAATCATTCCGGTCGACCATGGTTTACAGCGTTATCAATCTAACCTAACATATTTATCTAATATCATGTCCATAACCAGCAATACTCACTTGGTAGTTTTACTATATGAGCCCTTCTTTAAAGAATATATAAATAAAAATATGTCCAGTTTCAATTTGTAGTTAATGATAATTGACGTGCTTTACGAACACTAGGACCCAACTATGTTTCTTACAATCACTCTTGTAAGTCTTTATCGGCACCCTATCGAAAACAATTAAATTAGCAGTACCGTTCTCAAATTTAGATGTACACACTAGCTAATTACTTACGACAAATATGTAAATCTTGCTAAAAGCTAGATTTACTTATGGTTTAGTAAGGACGAGTTGTAAAATCATAGGAATAGATTGTTTGTTACAAAAAGTTCTAATCATCAATGATTAATAGATATGTCATTTGAAGAATAACTTATTGACTATGATTTAGATTGGTCTAATTCTTTATCAGTTATTCTCTTTACTAATTATACATAGAGGAACTTGTTCAGAAATTAAAGTCAATTATGAATCATTCTGAAAGAAAACTGTATGTACTTATGGAGCGTATACAACCATATATTTTTGAAAATTCTATATTGAATTCAACTTCAGCTTCTGGAGAATTAAATGTCAAGAAAATGGTTACTGAATTGGGTATTTTTGGTGCAATTCTTGCGTAAGTTTAACAACTAGTAGTGTACTTTCTTTTATTTCTAGTTTGTCATTTTGATTTTGAAAACCAATGCAAAATACTCTGTCAATGAATAATTTACTTAGTGGTCGTTAATTCACGTTTACTTCATTTTAAAAATTGGTAAAACTATAATACTGTCATTTATGATACTATTATAGAGATTCAAATGAGTTATATTCTTTTAGATTGAAGGAATGTTGATGGATTAAAACAGGGAATGATTGCATTACCCCTCAACTTATTTTTGATCTTCGAAGTTATGATTGGTGGATTTTATGTGGCAGCCAAACCATGACATGACATCAGTCCATGAATCATGGGCTACTGCCCAGACGTATGTTGGTAGGTATACACTACTTGTTTGGATTTAGCATGAGGTTAAATAATAATGCTAAAATCAAACTCATTTGTAAAGATGCATTCACTCTCCCTCTACCCAGATCTAGATTTTAAAATTTGTGTTATATCTTTTATTTCGGGGATTCATTTTCCCTGTCACCCCTCGTGGAGGAGCATAAGCCGCTCACCAGCACGAATCTCTCTGTGCTTATATAATATAGCAACATGAGTCTATGCACATTTTTGCCATTTCCTATACTGCTTATATCTGTCAAATTTTTCGCAATAAGGTGTAAGTAAAAAACAGAATCTCTACTAAATAATAAAGGAAATTCTTTGTGAAAATACAATTTAAATTATTAGAACCTAGATGTTAGAAAGTAGATATGTCAATCCACTTTAATTAATTTCAGAACATATTTATTTTGAGGTCTTTATGTAACTGCTAATGTGGTTTACTTTACTTAGTCGGACGAAATTACATTCAGTCAGCAAAAACGTAGAAATTCGTATGTTAGTACATCAGTTCAGGTTGCATTACCACATTAGCACAGAGATACAATTGTCGATCCACATTCTATAGTGGTAGAGGTAGAAAAAGTATAAGCAGTAATTAGAAAGATTATGGTTTGATGATGTTATTCAAGGGGTGTTATCCAGTGAAATAAATTGGGAAGGAGAAAAAAGAGACATGAAAAAACTCCGAAGATTAGAATTCGAGAGAACACAAAAAGTGGATGCGCCTGCGCCATTGCAAATGATTTTGAGACATGTCATTCAATGTCTCAGTTGCTATCGTCTCGCAGATCCCAACCAGTTAGTCTACACTTACCAACATGGCTCATTGCACTTGTCAGTGACTTCACGGATTTGTATCGTGTTTTGGTCTGGCCGCCCCTAGCTTCCTTCCAACCTACTCATACACCATAAAACATCGCACGTCGGGGCAGTCGGTGGTTGGGCGTAGGTAACATATGTTCCAGACATCTCAACTGATGAAGTTTCGCTACGTTATCAATTGATTTGGCATCCTTACCTAGTACCCGTTTCCTAACAACTGCATTACTTACTCGGTAGTCTCAGGATATACGAGCAATTCTTCGAAGACACCTATGATCGAATACTAGTTGTGTTCAAGTAGAAAGCCTGTAATTGAACTGTTCATTGATTTCTCTTACGAATTGTAATTTAAATACTATCCCAATGCTTTTTCTTGTAAACAGGTGTAAAGATGAAATCTTCCTGAATGAGTTTTCTGGTCACCTTCTTCGATCAAAACCACTGGAATCTAATGAAGGTGGAATAGTAGCAGGTTATGGTTGCCTTGACTCTCCATTCCTCGTTTAATACGTTTCAATTACTTTCATTTTGCTTCAGTGAAATAACAATTAGAATGATTTTAAAAAAATACATGATTTGATAACTTTATTCATTATAGTATAAAAAAAGGAAACTCCTTATTCCAAATAAGTGATTTCATTAGGTTAAGTCAGTTTTATAGATTTTTACACTAATATAATCGTTTCAGCTATTAGTTATCAAGATGTAGTTTGCAGCAGACCTATCTTAACATGAAATTCTTCGGAATCACAGAACTTTGAAGTTATTTACACAAGCATGTTCAAGCTAATGGGAATATTCGTCATTTGTTACCACCTGAACTTCCTTCACCTTATGCTGCAGTTACTGAATTGCATCCATTTAATAATGACAAATAAAGTGTATTAAGTAGTTTGAAGGAAGGAAAGTGTTTCATTGTGAATGAGAATAATTCAATTGCTTTCAGGTATTCAGGTGTTTAACACTCCCCACTTCACCCATATCGTTTTGATGGGTTTAGAAAAGAAAATGGATCAGTGGCGAAGTTCTTGTAAACCTGAGTATAACCACAAAGTCCAGGGATTAGCTGCTTAAGTTCAAAGATGCACGATATATTAGCTCTGTGGTTGACAGATCTTGTTGTGAGCACTGGTAATCTGTCGGGGGGAAGATAAGGCATGTTCCTTTCAGGGTTAACCCATCCTAGTTCCTTTGTGAGGCAGTAGTAGTGGGGTTGTCGTGGCGCATATGCATCTGTTGCTCCCTTGTACCAATATTTATGTGTTCAAATAAATACTGGGGTTGTTATTTATCCGTGAGGAACACTACTGCTCCCACACCTCGTTGCGATCAGCAAAATGACTTCACCCTCGGACCTCAAGTTTGATGCTTTTGGTCTTGATCTCCAGTCGACCCACTGAATATAGAACACCAAGTGTATCAGTCAACATAGATCAACATTATATGCGAGCCCAAACATCCTGGCGACGCACCGGAAACGGTCAGGTCCAAAGTAATTTATGAGTGGCACTGAACTGTGGACTCACATCAGTTCAGTCAGTCAGCTACAACGTAGGACCAGGCACATATGTGCATCGGTCCAGGTTGCCATACCGCATCAGCACAACAAGATGAACACCGGATTCATAGCAGTGGTTAGGTCAAAGGTAGTAATATGTAAGAGAAAGATTGCATATAGAGATATAGTACAAGAAGAAAGAATTGGTTCGTAGAAAGAAAGATATGAAGCGATTTTAATCTCTTAGTTTAAGGGAAGACAGGGGGTGTATACACCTACGCCATTGTGATCGATTCTGAGCCATGTCACCAAGTCTCTAACCATTGGTTACGATTGTCACGCGGACCCCAACCAAGTAGTCTGCATCTACCAACATGGCTCAGACTAGAAGTTAGTGACTTCAGGCACTGATGCCACGTTTTGGCTTGGCCGCCCCTAACTTTCTTCCAACCATTTCCAATACCGGATAGCATTGCACGTCGTGGTAATCGGTGTTCAGGCATACGCAACACGTGGCCCAACCATCTCAGTCGATGAAGATTCATAACCTCATCAACTGATTTACCATCATTCCCTAATACCCTGCGTCTAACCTCACTATTACTTACCCGGTGATCCCAGCAGACGCCAGCAATATTTCTAAGGCATCTGTGGTCAAATACTAATAGCTTACGAGTGTCTTCTACTCTTAATGGCCATGTTTCGCTGCCGTAAATTAAAACAGAACGGACTGCCGCGCAGTATACTCGTCCTTTTATTGATAGACGGATATCTCGCCTTCGCCATAGGTGACGCAAGTTGGCAAAAGCCAAGCGAGCTTTTCGAATCCGTGCTGAGATTTCGTCCGATACCAACCCATTAGGGCTGGTCAGACTTCCAAGATAAGTGAAGTTGTCGACGCGTTCGACTAATTCACTCCCTATCCTTAGTTGAGGTGTTGACGCAGACCAGTCCTGAAGCAACAACTTGCATTTAGAGGGAGAGAAGCGCATTGCAAACATTCTGGCATTGTTGCTCAGTGCTACCAGAAGACTGCATTTTGTCAGCGTCTTCACCAAACAGGACTATGTCATCTGCGTATTCTAAGTCGATTAGTGGACCTCCTGGTAGGAGATCAATACCCGAGAACTCAGTCGACGAGAAAGTTATTTCCATCAGTAGATCTATGATGAAGTTAAATAAAAATGGGGAATGTGGACAGCCTTGACGGACACCACTTGAGGTTGCAAAAGTAGATGACAGTTCGCCATAAGCTCTGACTCGACTAGTAGTGTTCGAGTAAAGAGCCTTTAGAAGGTTTATGTACTTCTGGGGTACGCCTTTCAATGACAGACACTGCCACAGAATCTCGCGGTCTACCGAGTCAAATGCTGCTTTTAAGTCGAGAAAAACCACCATTGTCGGACGCCAATAAGTATGCCTGTGTTCTAGAATCTGACGAATGGTGAATATGTGGTCAATGCAGCCACGACCAGGTCTAAAGCCAGCTTGGTTCTCTCGTGTTTGCTACCTTGACGTGGTGGTCGGGCTTGCCTATCGTGATGAAGCAACCGAGCTATACTGGCTGGAACAACCGTTCCTCAAGGTCCTACCATGTCAGACAGGTCGGTTGAAGAGTGGTAAGACTAAAAGCAACAAACCCAAGGTCCGAAGGCGAAGTCGTACTGCTGACTGTACAGAGGTGTGACAGCAGTAAGGTGTTTCCTTCAGACAACCAGCATGACAGCGATGCTGCCTTCCCACAAGGAGGGGTGGGGTTAGAAAAGGTCGACCCTAAAAATGCACACCTCACCTTACCTCACGGATTTCCGTCTCCGGCGGTAAGGCCCTTTGAAGAACGGAGCTAACACGTCAAAAACCTCCCACGAAAAGGCCGTGCGCGACCGGCCTCAAGCAGTTGTCCCTTGGGCACTGCGGTCACGCTCTCAGGTCACTGAGACCGCCTGTAATCCAATTTCCTTTTCAGGTACCTTCAGAAGAACCCTTCCACGGTGTGGGCAACCGGGAAGTGATAACCGCCCTCATACCTCTAACAGCACCCAAGATCACTGTATTCATAATCAACCTTCCTCTTCAATTCCTATTATTTTTCCTACATCGACTTTCAACCCTAAACTTCCTCCTTCGGCTTCCTCCTCAAGTGTCACCATAGCCAACGATTCTAGTGCTCAAAACTCTGTCCCAGGTCTACTGAAACCTCGCTCCAAACTACACATTGGAGCTTTCAACGTACGCACTCTATGTCAAGTCGGTCAGCAGGCTTCCTTGGCTAAAACCCTAGAGTCTCTTTCCATTGATGTATGCTGTTTCTCCCAAACACGCATACAGGATTCCAGTGTGGTCATTCACTTGACCTCACCTCGGCAAAACGGAGAGCCAACGAGATACACCCTACGTGTATCTGGTGACCCGATGGCCAGTTCTCGTGGACTGGCAGGTGTAGGCATAGCACTAAGCATGAGGGCGGAACAAGCACTGCTAGAATGGATCCCCGTCAACAGTCGTCTATGTGCTGTTCGGCTAAACGGCTACGTAAAAACTCGGAAGGATAGGGACACACGTCGTTGCCTTTTCGTCGTTTCTGCCTACGCTCCCACTGACTGCAGCTCAGATGATGTAAAAGATGAATTTTACAGAAAGCTGTCCGAACTTCTTCAGAAAGCTAGACGCTCAGACATAGTACTCGTAGGGGGTGACTTTAATGCTCAGATAGGTAGCTTAAACCAAACAGAAAGGCATTTAGGTGGATATTTTAGCATTCCGGCACAGCGAACAGATAATGGTGACCGTCTGCTGCAACTGTGCTCAGACAATCGCTTATTTTTAGCAAACACAAATTTTAAGCATAAGGAGAGACATCGTCTAACGTGGCGACCGCCTGCACCAAACCAACGATGGACTCAAATAGACCATATTGCCATCAGTCATCGTTGGAGAGGGTCGGTACAAGATTGTCGCTCATTCTGGAGTACCTGCTTGGACTCCGACCACGCCCTAATACGGGCACGCATCTGCTTGCGCCTCACTGGACGCAAAAAATCCACAGTAAAAAGACCCATTAGAACCGAACTGAGTAGCGAGGAAACCAAAAGTAGGTTCCAGGAACAACTGAGGTCACACTTAGGTAGTTCTAAAAACGAGGCTGACCCAGATGTTGCTTGGAATGTAATACAGGCAGCTGTGGAAACAGCAGTGACATCTATTAGCGACTTAAACCACAGAGTTTCAAAGAACCAGTGGGTTTCTTCAAAGTCTATCACACTGATGGATTCTCGCAAACTCGTCCCATCAGGTTCCGAACATGATGAAGAGCGACAACAAATCAGATCTAGGTTAAGAAAAAGTCTAAGAAACGACCGTGAGCAGTGGTGGGCAACGAAAGCAAAAGAGATGGAAAAGGCGGCGGCTGTAGGGAACACAAGACAGCTCTACAGACTAATAAAAGAAACTGGAATCAATAAGTCAAGTGTATGTGAGATTATATCGGAAAAAGACGATACTCTCATCTGCTCCCAGTCCAGGCGTTTAGAACGATGGGCGGAACATTTTAGGGAACAGTTCAGCTGGCCTTCAGTTACTCTACAACTACCCTCCATTCCCAGACAGTGTGAATGGAACATTGAAGTAGGTCCCCCAACTCTTGCTGAAGTTCAAAAGGCTATAGTTAATCTGAAACGAGGAACGGCAGCTGGTCCAGATGGATTGGCTCCAGAGGTCTTTAAGGATGGTGGTCCAATTTTAGCGATTAGGTTGACTAATATTTTAGCTAAGATCTAGGAGTTAGACGTTATTCCATCTAACTGGTCACAATCACTTATCGTCCCAATATATAAGAAAGGGTCAAAATCATCCTGTGACAACCACAGAGGGATTAGTTTAACTAATATAATATCTAAAATACTAGCCTCGATAATTATCAGACGGTTTGCCTACACTAAATAAAATCTTTGTTAGTCAGCTCTTAATATCGGTCGAGTTCTAATAAATTAAAACCTTGAGAAATACCATTGTAATCCTGCGTATAGAACAACCAAGGATTATTTCTCACAATATGAATTATTGGAAGTCAAGATTCGTGGCATTTCATAAAATGTTTTCAGCTGGTCTCCAATCATACTACCAAAAGCTCACAATTTTATTGCGTATACCGACGAGGTTTCCACCTCTTGATTTAATTCACTCTAACTGTCAATGACTTCATGCTCTTATATCTTTATTCAATGGATATTTGCAACCCCATCAGTCTGTTTGCCATCACCACCTAGTAACCTTCACCTAACTCCGACATCGCTGGGTGTTTCTATTATACTTGCGAAGTTCTCGCAATTCGTTTAATCCGGTTGGCGTTTTTTTAGCAAGATGATACAAACCTTCCTATAGATTTCACTCCACTAACGACGGAAGAAATTAAGACGGCCACCACACAAATCAAAAGTGAGAAGGCACATATTCCATGTTCTGTTCGAGAAGATTGGGGAGGAAGAACAAGTGCCGATGGACTAGAAAGAAGGACACCTTACCAACATATCAAAGAAAGGAGACTTTAGCAAATAAGAGAACTAAAGGGGCATCACAGTACTGTCATTACAAGAAGTTTTCGACAATGTTGCTGGACCGGATGAAACACGCAGTAGACGCTCAAGTTCGTGATCAACAGGCTGGATTCCGTAAGGACCGGTCGTGCACAGACCAAATCACGACACTACGGATCATCGTCGAACAATCAATTGGATGGAACTTGTCATTATACATCAAATTCATTGACTGTGAGAAGGCGTTTGATAGTGTGGACAGGAGAAAACTATAGAGTTCCTAAGAAGATTGTCAACATAATCCGGAGCTCATATGACGGACTACAGTGCAAACTCGTGCGTGGATGACAGCTGATAGATGCACTCCAAGTAAAGACCGGAGTCAGACAAGGCTGTCTACTCTCCCCCTTCCTCTTTCTTCTGTTGGCTGACTGGATTATGAAGACCTCCACATCTGACGGGAAGCACGGAGTACAATGGACAGCTCAGAATCAATTAGACGATTTGAACTTTGCAGATGACTTAGTCCTCCTATCCCATGCGCACGAACAAATTCAGATGAAGACAACTAGTGTAGCAGCAGCCTCTGCATCAGTAGGCTTCAACATACAAAAGCAAGATCCTCAAATACAACACGGAGAATACCAACTCAATCACACTTGATGTCGAAACTCTGGAGGATGTGGAATCTTTCACGTACATGGGAAGCATAATCGATAAACAAGGAGGATTTGATGAAGATATAAATTCGAGGATTGGCAAAGCAGCATCCCTACAACTGAAGAATGCATGGAACTCAAAACAACCGCCAAACAGTATCAAAGTCTTGATCTTCAATACAAACGTCAAGACAGTCCTACTGTTAGGAGCTGAAATGTGGAGAAGTACTACAACCATCATCAAGATACTGAATGCTTGTTGTCCGGACACCATCAGCCACAGCCTACTGTTGGAGAGAGCAAACCAGCTCCCAAATAAAGAGAAAATCAGGAAAAGATGTTGGAAGTGAATGGGACATACGTTTCGGAAACCATCGGACTGTATCATGAGGCAAGCGCTTATAAGGAATGCTGAAGGGAAACGGAAAAGATGAAGGTCGAAGAACACACTGCACCGAGAATTGGAAGCAGACTATGAAAAGGATGAGTAGCAACTGGAAAGGATTTTCCGGGATAGGGTTAGATGAAGAGTGCTACTCCACTAGGAGTAACAGGTGTAAGTAATCCCCGCAAGTTGTTTGTGATCAGACATTAATTATCATATTCTCAATCAATTTTTGGGAGTCTACGGAGATCTCGATGTTCATAAAGAAAGTACTTAGCAGTTCGCTGTCCATTACCTTAAAGCGGAGGGACATTGATTATGAAGACAGAAAGCATCCGTAAACTTTTGGTATTCGTATGTCAGTTTTTTTGAGCCATGAGGTGCAACTTGCTTAGCTGTATACGAAGCACAGTCATCTCGAATAAGACCTCGTCGTTTCATCTGTTTTCAGATGCAAGTTTATAGGAAATTTACGAGACGCAACAATCTCAAGTTTATGAACTAGGATATTTACAAAACACCAAAAAACGGGGGCATGTCCCCGAACCTTCCCAATACAAGTTGACTACAACGATCTGAAACCTACCAGTTTGGTTAACCCCTCAGGGTTCTCGTGTAATCACAGATATTGAACTTCATTATAGCAGCACTTTGAAACTTAATGGTCTGCTTAGTTTAGCAGGAACCACTCCACTCCTAGGTTTACTGATGTTGCTCCATTGGAACTCTTGTGTGTATTCTTATAAACCCCTTCAACAAACTAGTTCTTTAATAACACACATTAGGATGACATGATTCCTGTATGGTTGTCTACATTTTTCTGCTCCTCATGCTTGTCGTACGTAAGTATAAGTCTATTCATACTCATCACTTATGGCAGCAGACACTTCAGTATCAGTACTTCAGCGACTGTCTCCACAACGAAAAGTATATCGCACCAGGAAAAACTACTGGATCATCAACTTCCATACTTTACACCAGTACAGTTCACCAAACCATTGTTTGAATAACAGTGATTGCAAAACACTATGATGAGCCGAGGTAGAAGAACAAAACTAGTTTCTTCTCTTCTAGATCTGTAATATGCCTCGGTAAATAGCGTACGTAGATACCATAATTTGCGCACTTTCCTTTGAGAGCTGGTTGCCTAAACCAGAGTAGAAGTCAGCTGTTGTGATCGCTGAATCATTACTCTCCAAAATAAGAATATATGCAATAACCCTGTTAACTTTTTTTTTGAAATAGTATTAATCCTAATATTACTCTGAAAAGTACAAACTGATAGACTTATAAAGACAGTAGGTTAGTGGAAAAATAGAAATCCAGAATAACAATACAACCGTAGATTTAATACTAGGAATGAAACTCGAAGATTGCGAGATACGATCTGCCTAATAGTTAAAGTATATCTGTTTCTTTACTCAAAAAACTGCGGATTTCATCCAGTAGCTCTTGCTTTACTGTGTCTGGCACCATACGTCGACCGACTGGGGTAATTTCAGCTACCAAATCATCTATTGTTAGATTTTCAATCCCGCGATCCCGAATAACATCTGAAATTTGAAGAGGGAGAGAGTATTTACTCAAGTTGAATATACGTGAATAAAAACAGATTTTAATGACTAGGCCGCTGGGACTGTGAAAGTCACATTACTACTTATCTCACGAATCGGTAACAATCATTCATTCCACAGATGTGGTTGAGGAATTTTAAAATCTTGAGTTTGAAACTCCACTAACTTGCTCTGGAACTTTGATATACTGACCTATAAAAGTCACATGGTAACCCAAGGTCCCATAGTACCTCAGATGTTGGTGTATAAGAGATACAATAAGTGTGTGGATTTTCCACCAACTAGTCCCTGGCAGCGTCGATCTAGTTATCTGCAGTCACTTGTGACTCCATGTGTGTTCATTCGGTATTTGGCAATACAACTTTCATAGTTTCACTTTCCTGCTTATTTAGACCGATTAAGTGTTTAAGACTGTGCAGCATCCGAACCAAACCATAGACCATAACAGTTTTCTCCAAAAATGCCATGTCGGTTGAGGGGGGCTGAAATATTCACAGATTGAGGCTGCTGATACGTGTGTTACACATGTCTAGTCACCATCTTCTCCGATGAATCGTGCTGGCTATATCTTTATTAGTTAGAAAGGCTATGAGAGACCGGGACAGTATCATTAGCAAAAACTTCAGGTAGAAATGTGGTATTCAACAGCACAATAAAACTACTCACCAGAGACCGAGCCCTCACTAAAGCCGTTTACCTGATTTATGAATCTCCACCATCACAGGACATAGTACCGAATCATGAATTCATTGACTGATGGCCTGAGACGCGTAAAGAGAAGCACACTTCCTAATTTTGGTAATAAGCAATAATCGTAATATGTGGTTAAATACGTTAAACGATGGTACAGTATTGGGGAAAGCAATTCAATTGCACTCATTTTCTATATTTCTGCGCATCTTGTGGTTAGTGTCATCCCATATTTTTCGTTTATCCATCTCATTTGTTCTATTTCATTTTGTGTGGTTTTTTAACACATACAACTACTAATTATAATACTTTGCTTTTTCAATTAGTTCTCTTTATTAACACTTATAAAGGATACTTTGGATTGTTCAAAGCTCTTGGGATGGTATGTTATTTAGACTCTACTGATATTACCTATCAAATTTTGGTTGAAAAATGTTGTAATAAATAAAGAAATGAAAGGTGAATATAATTATTACTTTAAGATTCAATGTATCCCAAACCCCCGTAAATTTCTAAAAACTAAGAAGATAATGTATACACATTTCACTGAGAAAAGGAGAACTAACTGCGAAACTTATATTTTTGAAACTTAGCAGCGCGTATTTTGGCACTTTATACACTTACTATTATCTACAATCAACTAACTGATATTCGTTTATATCTGTAAATGAGAAAAGTTTCCATATCACTCCCACAAGATTTTATACAAATACATCCAACAATAGAGATTTACAGAACTAAAGGACTAACCATCCAAAACTTGACAACGCAAGTTAGAATTACAGTTCATAATTTACTGAATGACATGGGTAACCACGTTATTGCTCAGAAAATCCCGAGCACTCTAGGAATTCTTGATCTCAGGACTACAGCAAGCCATGATGTAACTCTCGAGGGATTGCTATCCAGTAAGTGGACAAAAATATGGTTCTACATTTTCGTATGAGACTGTGTTATCTGATGTGACCAAAGCTCATCAGCGGTCTCTCGGAATGGAGCGACAGATAAACATACAAGACAAAACAATAATTGGGAAGTCTTGATCTCTTTATGTCACATACTATCCACTCTTTGATAATTAAGATTACCATTAGCTCCTAACTATTTAAATTATACTTCTACAACTTATCTCTCCCACGTGGAAGAGATGTGTACACATCATACAAATCTATTATCTCAGATTTAATGTAGCGAAACAGAAGATTGTCTAGCGAGAAGAAATCACTCAGCTCCAGCAACTTAATTGCTTAGGGAATACGAACTCAGTTACATACAAAATATATCCACCTCAAGATACACCCTTCGAGAAATACACCTTGGAAATTCACATTATTGCGGTACGATGGCTAAACTGAACCTAATGGACGCTACTACATGTCTTAAATCATTCCGTGAACTCAGGATGCGAGGGCGAGACAATTCTTGGCTTATACTACAACGCTATTAAAAATTATTATTTGAGAAAGATTTTTCAGTCTCTCAAATCTTCCAGAAGCTGTGTGACACAAGTATATAAATATCATTACCACACTAAAAAGTTTCTTAACTAGATGATGCAAATTTAACTTAGCTTCGAATAGCTAACCTCTGCAATGGCTTTTTAGTTCCTCGCTCCAGCCACATTCACTCAGGCGTGTTCGTAAAAGGTCTTTAAGTTTTTCTTTTTCTCCACTGCGACTAAGCCTCTCGTTAATATAAGCACGAAGTCGGGATTTATCATCACTAAAAATAGAAAGTTAGGTACGACAGACTAACTCCAAGGTCATGTCACTTTTAAAAGAGGCTCCGTCCAATACCATAGGCTACAAATATAAAAAGACATTTAATTTTTTTCTAGATTTGATTTGAATATTGGATACAGGAGGCCTACTTCATATGGTAGTTCTTTTTAGTGAACTTCTGACAGTAACCAGTCTTCTCTTGAATTTTTCGGATGAAGAGATGAACATTATGTCATAAGATAAAAAATTCCAAAATTTGATGACTCATTGTGAATAACTGTATTACACACGCATCCCGCTCTTAGCTTTCTTACCAACTTGTTATGTTCTCTGAGTTGTACTGTCCTAGCAAAAGAAAATGAGTGGATATATCACGCTCAATATCATTTGTAATTAATTTACGCACGAAAATCAGATTATCTATTATTCTGTGATAAATAAGAATAAGGACGAATAACTTCCCTATTCAACGTATATATCTCATACCTCGGACTTTCGGAATTTCAAGGGGTTTATCCCCGTTGTAGTTTTTTCGGAACCTACGAGTCACCTTGTAAACATGGCTTTGCTGTATGGATGGAGCACTATATTTTCTTCACTCTTTGTGACGTAGTACATTTATATAATCAGAATGGAGTTACGTAGATTGTTGAGTTTTTGGATTATATCATGAACCGATCAATGTTAGAACACCATCGGGAACCTAGGAGCACCACGTGCAACGGCCGTCCAAACATTCCAGGTTTTCGATGGTGGTCTAACGATTCATGATCTCAATTAAAAGATCTTTATTGTGACCGCGAAAACTGTTGTACGATGAAAAAGTTCATCATGCTCGTTAGCCAGTTTATACCAATTGATGGGAAATACAATCCATTTTTGTACTTTTTCTGACTTATTTGCCAAAGTACTGACTATGTATAGCTACAGCGTCGCACGAGTCTACGGTCATTATTGATGTAAGATTACTGGTTACCATATTAGAAATGCAAGCATCATGAACTATAAATGCTCATTCACTGTATCAGATTCCAAGTAGTCCAGATTATTGTATTTACTTAGTCAATCGAATTCCATGCCAGGACATTATTTTGCACTCAGACTTAAATTTTCCTGCCGTCATTTTGCATGTTGTCAGTGCCACTTTTCTCATGTTTTGAGATAGTGCTTTTCCGCCATTTTTCTGACTTGTCTCTTATGTCTATGACAATATAAGTTCTTTAGTTACATGAGCTATAAGTCCTTTACGTCAGAATATTGCTAGATCTACTCCAAACCATAGGTGCGACAAAACACCCCTTTATTGTTTTATTTATCAACTAAACAATTATTTCTGTAGCATCCTCTCCATTAAGTCATGGCGAAGTTGATAGCAGTGAAGTAATTAATGTACCGTGAACTTTAATTTCTGATTTCAATGGTTGACAAGTGAATATGCTTATATATCTAAAATCTACAAAAACCTAAACACTGACTTCTTCTATGTCTTTGTAATAATTGTAAATTTTATGTAGTGTGTCCAGGGACTTAATGTGGGTTGTGTTGTCATGTGAAATGGAAAGATATGATGAGAAATTCTTATGGTTGTCACAATTTTGTGAAATTTAAGAATATAATCCATAATCTGACTAAACCAATCCAATGAGATTTAGGATTATTCACTGTCTCTACAATGCATATTAGAGTCATTCGTATATTTTAAGTAATCAGAGTTTTCATTTATTATGAAGGAGTCGTCCCTAACCATCCAGGTAATTTATTCTCACCGAAGACATCGACTTCTCTGTGTGTACCAGTTTACGAAGTTGGTATCCTAAACAACACTCAATACCAGTAACAGAGGAGTAATGAAACACTTCTGTAACTTCAATTTTTTAATAAGCAGCGCCGTTAACGATAGATTTCCTTGTGATTAATAAAAGGCAGAAAATAAATATAGTCACCAGCATTCTGAAGAGATGGAAGGTCCTTTGTAAGAAATAATCGATGAATAACATTCGTTTTTGTGATAGCATTGAACCGACAATGTCCTTAAATGCAGTCTTGTTAATATACCATCACGTTAAAAATGCTAATTTGACTTGACATTAATCAACTTTTGCAACGTACTATCAATGCATACACTGTTAAAATAATGGATATGACTATCACTCAAAGTAACTGGACTTACCTGGTCTGTGATACGTCCCATACGAGATGAAAATACAATACGAATGAACAACAACCACACCAGTCACTAACACTGGCATTGTCGATCATGTTTTTCAAACATTTTCGAACATTGCCAAGCTGTTATTGAGAACAAACGGGTTTGTCGTCATGTTGATTATATTCATTTGTTTTTAACAAATTTTGTTCACATAATGTGCTGAAGAGATATAGACAACTAGCTTTTTACCCTCAATTTGTGCGACTTCTGATTTTAATGTAAGTACTTCGAAACCTAATTATACCGCTATTAGCCAAATTAAGCATCGTAACGCAGAAGTCTAGGTTATTGTGATCGATTTGCAGATCGTCAAAATATTTACCATTTCCTTTAATTTCACTGTGACACCCATCAATTTACTTAATTTTCGTTCAGAACATGGATATGCACACAGAAGTAATAATAAGGCACAAAGTAAATATTCCATGTCCGTCAAGCGAACGCAGTATCAATCAATAAATCACGATTAATTTTGACAGAGTAAATTTGTTGCTGCATTGTTGTTATACAGTCTGTATCTCAAATTAAACTCTTCTTAATTTATTCCAGTATCACTTTATGAGATAACAAATAAAGTGTTTCTACACCAACGTAATAAGGCGAAGTGGTAAACTAAGAAAAATTATGAACATGTGTATTCTGTTAGAAATGTCGATATTAGTCCTCACTAACAATCGGTAATCACCGGTCATCATTATTAGAAAGGTGAATCTGAAAGACAAGACACTTTGCCGATACTAGAGGTCACAGAAAATGGGATGTGAATTGGAAATATACATTAAAAGCCAATTCAAAGCCACAACGCCATACATTGCCGAATTAATCGAGTTGACACATTAACCAGCTTGTGGTAGAGTATGTCCACGACCACGCACTAACTGGAAGTGACAACCCTTGTGTAGTTATCTTTAGAGCGGTCACAAATGAGGAACTGTGGATTGACGAAAATGAAGGTGAGCCTCGTGGTCATGGGAGTAGTGAAGCCAAACATTGAATGATCACTAGTAGATAGGAATAAAACTCAATACATTACCCGAAACAATGGACTTAAGGGGTAAAAGAGACATTGAACACTTCCCACAGACCAAACCTATGGCTTAACGTAAATAGATTTCTTTGAAACAATCTGATCGCATCTAATATTTGCAACTCCATAGGTCACGTTGAAAGATGTTTGCAGGTCATGTTAGCAGCCCAAATTAAAGCCACCTCGAAATATCTCTGCCGAATATCCGCAAACTAAGAGATCTGCACTCTAAAATAGCCACAAGGCTAAAATCTCACTGGTTTAAAGATGAATTAAGTCTTTAATGACAACCTAGTAAACCTACTAAACCAGAAAATCGAAAGCTCTGAACATCTTTCAAATCTGCCGCCAGTTGAGAGTCTGGGAGATAAGCAACTAACTCCTAGATTAGTATTGAAATCCTTCCTTCCAGAAAAGCCACCAGAATGTGACAGCATACGGCCGATAACCCTGAAACTATATGCGGAAGCCATCAGCACATAAGTGTGTGACCCGATCAGCTACTAATTAGATTCACACCTCATCCATGAAAATTGGACCAGGTCACTCCTTCCAATCTCCAAAAAGGGACTTGTGGAGATTTTTAGAAATTTCACAAGTTGAAATCATGAGCCAATTGAAACTAGACCACCATGGAAAACCTGGAAGCACTGGACGGCCGTTTCGTCCTAGTATGGGACTCCTCAGCAGTGCGCATCCACGAACCCGCCCCCCGCGGGATTCGGACCCAGGACCTACTGTCTTCGCGCGCGAGCACTTAACCACTAGACCACTGAGCCGGCATCCAACGGTGTTAATGTCTAACTTGCCAGCTCAGTGGTCTAATGGTTAAGTGCTCGCGCGCGGCGTCAGTAGGTCTTGGGTTATAATCCCGCGGGGGGCGCGTTCGTGGATGCGCACTGCTGAGGAGTCCCATGCTAGGACGAAACGGCCGTCCAGTGCTTCCAGGTTTTCCATAGTGGTCTAGCTTCAATTAGCTCATGATTTCAACTTGTGAAATCTCCAAAAAGGGGGACAGAAAATATACAACATATTACAGGTCAAACTCTTTACTCTCAATACAATCAAATATAATGGAGGTGTAGAATCATGGTCTACTTTCTCATTAGGACCATTATGACAATAAATACAATCCTAAAACTGTAGATTTTTCATAATGCGACTGCCTAATCTATAAGATGTTTTGCGAAAGTCAGATTATTGTCTGCACTAACTCATCGTATCTCAACAATTACCATTACGTCTAGATTTTGTAAAGAACACATTTAGGCTAAAGATAGAGTAATATATTTAGTGTGAGTAAAGACAAGTTATGCAGAAAGGCCATATAGGCGAGGTTAAGTCAAGCCATCCGACATGTTGAATTCAGCATTCATTCTCCATTGTTAACTTTCTCTTCGTGTCAATTACTAGATATATAAATATTTAATAGCCACCGTATCGTAAAGACCAGCCCATCGGCACTTATCTTTCTAGACAACAAAAATATTTGGAGGCTGTGGGGTTTGAATGAACCAATGATACCTTTGTACTGGTTGAATGTTTGATTTCGAATTCTAAATACAGTACATTCGTTGTGCCTGTGTCTTCTTAATTCAATTGCGTTAATCCTGGAATTCCTAATTCATACGAAAATTAGAATACTATATTGGCGCCGTGATGGAACCTGCAATGGAAAAGTTGGATATTCATTCAACTCCTGAAGCTATTGAGGATTATTTGGAAAGGTTCGAAATTTGGAGCATGACCAAGAAAGATGTTAAAGGTGAGAAAATTGTGGCACATTTTCTGACATTCATTGGGAGAGAAGCGTACAGCTTATTAAAAACTTTGGCATATCC